TTCCATTTCTCGACCAACAAATCCCCTCCCAAACAATCGATACGTATATGATGAATATTCCTTCGTTTACATTTGTTCAGAATTTCCAAAAGACTCCTTGAAGTCAACCCAAAACAGGAATGAAAGAGAATCAAATCACAGTCCCGTCCCACGGAATTGATAATCTTATCTGAAGAAAAAGAAGATCGTCTCATCCTCCGCAATCTTTCACGTCGTCCTAATCTCAACTTCTTCCCTCGTTTGGGTTTATCTCGACTATTAAGGGCAGCGCAAGTCTGTCTAATAAATAATTTTTCAATGTCCTGTACATCATTCTCAGAACATCGGTAAATGGGAATCCCCATATAACCTTCCAAACCCCTTCTTCGTAACCATCGGTACAATCGCTCATTTTGTTTTCCTTTGCAGACCTTATAACCGTTAGAAGATCGATACACGTGTTCAACCAAGCGAGTGTGAAGGTCCCTGGTGGTACTACCAACATACATGTGTCTACACCACGGCGAAAAAAACACGTACACCACAGACCCCGCAAGATCTCCTGACAAACCTCCATCGTTAGACAGAAAACGAGAGACGAAAGGAATAAATCGCTTACCCCAAGGGATCACTTCAGAAATCAACAATAAACAGGTAGCCAAACATAACAATCGATTAATCAATGTACAACGTAACAGTTCCGTGGAGCTACGAAGTTTACATAAATAACGAACAGAGGCCCAAAGATCAGTTGCGCTCGGGAAGGATACTAAGACACAACAACATTAGCGTCATCATCCCTTTCGACTGTATCAGAGCCCCCGACCGATACTTCAACTACAGAGGTAACTTTCTCCTTACCTTTAACACGATCGTCAGCCCCAAAGGCCTTATCCGCTCGTCTAGCCGCAATCAACTCCTTCGTTGGTTCCAAAGTGGTGTACGGTATCCCTTCTTCTCGGCATATTTTCTTGGATTTCTTTTTTATTCTTACGCCGCAAATTCTTCTTCTCCATCTGCATAAACGCATCTCGATCGTTAACTTCGATGCCGACAACCATCCCTTTCTTCTTCAACGAGGAGCAAGGTGGTTTGGATGCGGAAGCTCCAGCGGTTTCATCCATCCTCGTTTTGAGGTTAGTTCCCTTCTCCCTGCGACCCATTTCCAATCTTGCCATTTCAGCCTTCAACTTCTCTACTTCTTTCTCCCGCCTCAATTCGTCCGTTGGCGTCCTTCATCCGCATCTCCTTGAGTAAGTTAACTTCCATATTGTGACAATCTGCGATGCCTTTCAAAACTGGATTGGTTCTTCTACTGGTCCGTACTGTAGATGGTCCAGGAACGTCAACAGCCTGGCGAGGAGTACCTTTCAGACGAGATCTGGCAGTGCCATGCGATAATGGAGTCTCAATGGTGATGCTCCCTCGCTTGTTGCCTGGACGTAATGCTTCCGCCTTCCACAGTTCGACATTCGCTTCGGCAGCTTCCTTACCCCGAATCAGACTATTAATCCGTTCCTCCATAATCGCAAAACGTCTGTTGGCAGCCGCTCTCATCTCCTCTTGTTCTAATCTGAGTTTGTTGACAACGACATAATCGATGTCGACGGGTTGACTTGGAGTAACCGCCTCCTTCGCTCTCGACAACCTAGCCACGTCCTCCTGTAACTTAGCAAGCTCGTTAGCCTCCTGATCTCTCTTGTCAATCTTCTCATAAATTTTCTCCCATTGCTTCCCCAACTCCTGACTAAGTCTTGAATGTTGTTCTTCTCGTTCTTGTTTGTCCTTCTATCTCCTCTCCTCCTCTTCTTTCTCCCTGTTCCTTCGTTCGGTCTCCTACTTCTCTGCTAATTCTTTAGTTTCATCCACATCGTGCTTGGTCTTGATTTTACCCACGATGTCTTCAAGGGTGGCCACTCGATTACGTAGCCAATACTTCTCGTTCGAACGTCCATTGGAATGATTGATCGAAAACTGCGGCAAGGCTACGCCTACTCCCGGCATATGACTTGGTCCAGTAGCCAAAGGTTGGGCCGCAACAATCGCCGAACTCGTACCCGCCAGTCCACCGTTAAGACGTTTGTCCGGAAGAGGACAAAACCTCGAAATATGCCCCTGCTATCCGCAATTGTAGCATGACCTGTTATCAGTGATCCGCAGGTTCGCCTGAGATGCCATCGCAAAATTCGAAGCCACACGAAACGTAGTACTACTCCTACGTTGGTTACTCCGTGCGTGAAAGTTCACTCACGTGACAACCACGGAAAGACAAAAGAAAAAACGTTAAACCAGTAAAGATCAAGTGCAACACACGTCAGCTGAGCAACAGAGGTAGGAAAGGAGGAACAGAGGCAAGGAGGAAAAAAGACTGAACATGAAGAGTCCATGAAAAAACCGAACGCAACTTCCATTAAAGATAAGCTTGACAGAGCATAGCGATTTCTCGCTTGGCGTTGACCCGACCGGTTTAGCTCGGCCGCCAAACCGCGCTCATTAGGGTTCTTAAGGAGTCGTGTCGAATAACTGTTCGCAGACCTCTTATATGTTCAGTTTCGTCTAGAAGCCTGTCAAAAGTCTATTCTAAAAGGCCGGTACACTATGAAAAAAATCAAGAAAAAATCGAGAACCCTTAAAAACGAAAAAATAAAAATAAAAAGAACCTACTACCTTAGTGCACCTAGCCCAAGCGCCCGGGTTAATCGTACGAAAAAGAGAAAAAAAAGAGAAAAAGAAAAAGAAAACTCGACCGTAAGAGGCTCAAACAACCCTAGCTCCAAAAACCCAATACTACCCCCATTATGGGAAGGCCTTGCGTCCGCACAGTTATATACTAAAGTTTCGCGCGTGTCGCCTATCCGTTTCTGCGTCGGAAGGTTATGAGACGGATACAAAAAGAGACTAGGAGTGTTGTTGTGTTATTTGTTCTGTGTCGTTCTGTATGTGTGAGTGTTGTGGTGTTATGCGTGGTAGGTGGATGCGTCCTAGTCGACCGAGGACGAGTCCGCTTGGGACTTCAAGCCCCCCAGTGCGTCAGTTCGTGTGTGGGTCCAATAGAGGCGTGAGACCGCGCGTACCCCCTATGCTACAACGAACGAGAAACGCCCTCGGCTGGTCCACCTCTGCGATTGCAACTGATTAGCTTTCGTACTGTGGACTGGTAGCTCGGCAGGGATACGCCCACCAAACGGAGGTGATAGCTCCCGCAAGGAGGAGGTAAGTTGTACCTGGCGTTGGCCCTATCCTGTCGTAGGGGCTCGCGAGAGGTATGGCTGGCGCACTCGGCCGGAGAGGCTTGCAAAAACTCCATGTGTATTCACGATGAGGATCAGGCCAACTCCTACGTGACGAGGCTGGGAGGGTCCCGCCCTGCGCGGTGCGGGACTGATGCGCTCGACAGAGTGCGACCGCGCGTACCCCCTATGCTACGACGAACGAGAAACACCCTCGGCTGGTCCACCTCTGCGATTGCAATTGATTAACTTTCGTACTGTGGATTGGTAGTTCGACAGGGATACGCCCAACGAAGGGAGGTGAGAACTCTTGTAAGGTGGAGGTAAGTTGTACCTCGTGTTGGCCCTATCCTGTCGTAGGGGCTCGCGAGAGGTATGGCTGGCGCACTCGGCCGGAGTGGCTTGCAGAAGCTCCATGTGTATCGCAACGAGGATTAGACCAACTCCTGCATGACGCGGTCGGGAGGGTCCCGCCCTGCGTGGCACGGAACCGATGCGCTTGACACCGTGTGCTGGTGCTTTAATAATTACTGGAGGGTAACATTCCTGAGTGGTAGACATTGAGGTAGGATTGTGGAATGGGGGGTGTGCCAGAAAGACTTAGTCTACCGCGTGGCGAGGGGAACACAACCGTAAGGTAGCCAAAGCAATGAGACTAAGAGCGCGCACAAGAGAGAGAGAGAGAGAGAGAGAGAGAGAGAGAGAGAGAGAGAGAGAGAGAGAGAGAG